GGAATTTACATCTCTTGAGCTGGGGACTGTCAGACCCTGTCATCTGGCTGACTGTTGGTGACCTGCCTTGCTGTTTGCTGCCTGTAGCCAGATAGCCTGAATTGCGCTACAGAAGACGGCCCGGCGGCCCTCAAGACTTGAAGGACTGCCAGTGTCTCACAGCTGTCTCACGGCAGTGAGTTGCAGTGAGCTATTTGTACTGCTTTATAGATTTATTTCTTATGTTATGTATCTATATAAATATAATTATTAGCGTTCTGCTTTTGTTTCTCTAGAGAACCCTAACATACAGCCCAACACATAACCAGTATGCCACCAGGGGCTGTTTAGGTACAACCAAAGGCCTCTTGGGGTTTAGTTTCTTAGATTAGGCATTTAGGGTATGGACAGCCCAATTGACTGGCCTAATATTGTGTTGAGTGCTTTTGTTCTGTCTCCTAGTTTATTGTGTATTACCTAGACCTAAAAGCTTGCAACCGAACATCCAAGGCACAATTGATCTCTATTCACCAAGAGCCACAGACGAAGATGAATCAGGAATAGAGGAGAAGATGGGGTGTGTGCCTAATTGCCTCCATGAACAACTGCCTCCTTTGCTTTGAGACCAAAAGCACTGAAGGTCCCGACCACTCCTGAATGTTTTGATCAAAGATTCTATAGAAGAAACCTGATCAAAAGGATGAAAATTCAAGGCAGAATTTTACATTATTATACATTCTAGACTTTTAGAGCTATGGAAACTGGGTGAACACATGAAACTCTTGCCTAGAGATAACCTTTAAACCTTAAAAATCTCCCTTGAAGTCTCTTAAGCGCAACTATTGGTCTGAGTGGCTAAAAAAAAAAGGAGGGAAAGTACAACTTGGGAGTCTTTGATGACATATGAATTCATTTCAAACTTTTTTTTTTTTAAGTCCTTGACTGCTAAATAAAAGGTTGCACGTTTGAACCCACCCAAAGGCTCTCTGGAAGAAAACTCTGCTGTTGTTAAGATTACAGCCTAGGAGACTCTAGGGGAGACTCCTCCTCTGTCCTCTAGGGTGGCTGATTCTGAACCGAATCCACCTCCGTCAGCAACAGTCAAGAATGCCTTGGACATCGTGGCCTTTGAAGAACTACAGGCAAACAAGGCATTTTTCTCACTGGACAACCCCCTCCTGTCTTGGTCTCCAATGGCCTAAACACATAATATGCGTGAGCATGTTATTTCAGTGGGGTCTTACATATGGAAAATAGAGCAGCTCTGTATGGGATCAAATTGACAAATGGAATTTGAAGGATTCGACAGGACATTTCCAGGGCGGTGAATTTATTAATGGGGAGAGACAAATCAGAAAGGCGGGGGTGGTTGCACCACTTGGAAAAAAGTAATCAATGTCGGCGAATTGCACCCGTGGGGATGGCTGGACAGCCGCGCGTTCTGCTGGGTAGTCTCTCAACCACATGCACACAAAACCCGTGTCCCAGGTCGCACGGCGAGGAAACAGCAGAGCCGTAATTCAAGCTCAGGTCTCGACCAGCGTCTGCGCTACAGATACTCTGCGGGGGTTCCTTTACTTTGGCGCCCGGCGGGGAAGCCGGGTAGCGGTGGGTCGGGTGACGGCGCCGGGCCGAGCGCCTAGCTCTGCCCCCTTGCTCCTGCCGGGGTCCTCGGCTCCGGTTTGCTGCCCTGAAGCTGGGGGGCAGTTCCCGCCAACCTCCCACCGCACTCAGCCCGACCACCTGGTTTCTTGACGTTGTCCTTCTGAGACAAAACCAATGTCCCGCCCACGTCCGGCTCGGACCAATCCTGGGCGAGCTCCGCCACTCCGGCCAATAAGCATCCGCCTCCGCGGCACCTCTCACCAAAGGACCTTCTGATTGGTGTATTTTTCATGTCCGCGGCGTTGCCTTAGTAACCGAACTACAGGGACGCAACCGCTGGGTCTCGGGGCCACTGGCTACCAGACCCCGGGGCTCTCCACGGTCCCGCCTCCCTTCCGCAACCATGTCCGTGCGAACGCTACCCCTGCTCTTCTTGAACTTGGGCGGGGAGATGCTGTACATCCTAGACCAGCGGCTGCGGGCCCAGAACATCCCTGCAGACAAGGCCCGCAAAGGTGAGAAGCGCCCCGCCCGCACACTACCCCGCCGCCGCCGCGGCCCCGGTACCCGCCGCCGCCGCCGCGACACCCTGACTGGCCCGGTACCCACTGCGCTGGGACAGCCAGGGACTCCCGTCCAGCCGGAGCCCCTCTGAGCCAAGTTCCCCCAAAGGGACGTTTGCCCTCATTGGCTGTCATCAGTACCTGATACCCCGACCCCCACCCCCAATCTCTCCATCCCTTCAAATAGGAGAGGTGCTTTCTCCATCACTCTTGCCAGCAGGACTTATCAAACGTTTTTAGTGTCAGTCGAACCACCCTCCTTAACCCCTGGGGATGAGATTCAGATTCCCCACCCCTCTGCGTAGCATCGTCTCTCGGAAGCTGAGGTTTGCCTGGCATATTTCAGAAGTGAGGGCTTCTGAGAGAATGTGGACAGATAAGAAAATCAAAAGCCTTTCCATGGAAGCAACCCAAGAGCCACTCCCAGGAGAAATGATCACACAAGCCCTTCCCCCCTTCTTCCCTCCCATCTTGCCCCAGCGACTGCTTCCAACCCACCTGCTGGGATTAAGTAGAAAGCATTATTTCAAGATAGTGGAGGAAAAGTTGAGGTAAAAGGAGCAGATATGGCCACCATTTAAGACAGCTGTTCTCAACTGTGGGTCGTGACCCTTTGGGGATCGAATGACCCTTTCCCAGGGGTCACCCAATTCATAACAGTAGCAAAATTACAGTTATGAAGTAGCAACGAAAGTAATTTTATGGTTGGGGGTGGTCACCACAACATGAGGAGCTGTATTAAAGGGTCACAGCATTAAGAAGGTTGAGAACCACTGATTTAAGACATACTTTCTCCAACACTCACTGTATGCTCAATTTGTATTAAACATACAGGTTCAGATGTTAGCATACATATTCAGCATACAATTTTTTTTTCTTTTTTAAATCATTTTATGGGGGGCTCAAACAATTCTTATCATAATCCATACCTACATCCATTATGTCAAGCACATTTGTACATTGGTGGCCATCATCATTCTCAAAACATTTTCTTTCTACTTGAGCCCTTGGTATGAGCTTCTCATTTTTCCCTTCCCTCCCCCCTCCCCCCTTCCTAATGAACCCTTGATAATCCACAAATTATCATTATTTTGTCATGTCTTACACTGTCCGACGTCTTTCTTCACCCACTTTTCTGTTGTCTGTCCTCCAGAGAGGGCGTTATATGTAGATCCTTGTGATCAGTTCCCCTTTTCTACACCACCTTCCCCTTCCCCTCCTGGTATCGCCTCTCTCATTATTGTTCCTGAGGGGTTTATCTGTTCTGTATTCCCTGTGTTTCCAGTTCCTATCTGTGTACATCCTCTGGTCTAGGCAGATTTGTAAGGTAGAACTGGGATCATGATAGTGGAGGCGGGGGTCATTAAAGAACTAGAGCAAAGTTGTATGTTTCATCATTACTACACTGCACCCTGACGGGCTCCTCTCCTGCCCATGACCCTTCTTTAAGGGGATGTCCAATTGCCTGCAGATGGGCTTTGGGTCCCCACTCCGCATTCCCCCTCCTCATTCACAATGATATGATGTTTTGTTCTGATGATGCCTGATACCTGATCCCATCAACATCTCATGATCACACAGGCTGGTGTGCTTCTTCCATGTGGGCTTTGTTGCTTCTCTGCTAGATGGCCGTTTGTTTATCTTCAAGCCTTTAAGACCCCAGATGCTATATCTTTTGATAGCCGGGCACCATCAGCATTCTTCACCACATTTGCTTATGCACCCATTTGTCTTCAGCGATCATGTCGGGAAGGTGAGCATCATGGAACAGCATACAATTATTTTGTTGGGGTGACTGAATACAGACCCTTGCATAAAGAAATAAAAAGACCTCCGTATAGCATATCCCTTCATTCATTCAGCTCACGGCTGTTAGTGAGCTTTCTAAAGTGCAAATCTAGCCATATACCTACCAGCACTGCCCAGCAGCCAAGGCCCACAAAGGTGAGAAGTTTTAAAATCTATCACCTGCCTTCCAGTGCTGCATGGACCAAGGCCAAGTCCCAGCACATGGCATTCCAGAGAGCTTTCTGATCTGTTCTCTATGCACCTCAGCAGTAGTCCCCTCTGCTACCACTGCCTGCCTCCTACTTTGCATTTTTATCATGCCAACCTGTTTCTAAATCCTGTCTGAAAACGTGTTCATTCATGCCCGTCCCCATCCCACCTCCTTCTCATCTACCCTGCAGTATTCAGGTTAAGAATCTTCTTCTTCAGGGGGTGCCCACACCTGGGGCAAGTGTCTTAGCAGCCTGTCTCTACCTCACCACTGGCCATATTGGGCTGAAGCGATCGATCTGTGTTGATCTCTGTGTCCCCTACTTGAGTGCCTGGTGCCTGGTCCAGAGTAAATCGGTGCTCAGTAAATGTCTGTTGAATGATGACGTAACTTGGCTGTCTCCTGTGATGTTGCCACTTCTTCCTCTGTTGTCCTTAGTGCCTTTGTTACGCCGTTTTACTCTGGATAACGGTACCGGTGGGCTGACAAGACCCATGTTCTCAGACAAACAGTCTGTATCTCGAAAGGCAATGTGAATGAGCTGTTAAAAGAATGGTCTCTGGAATCATACAAATCTGGACCCCAGCACACAACAATTTGACTAGTTGTGTACCTGTGAGGTGTAACCTCTCTTTCTCTATAAAATGGGGGAGTAAACAGTGAATGGGCTCACACACAACAATTGTGAGGATGGTGCAGGACCAGACAGTGTCTCATTCTGTGGTACATCAATCTCTGGGCACCTCACAAGTGAAGTTGTCAGATTGCATGAGATCTTGTGTCCAGTGCAGCGGTGTGTCCATGGCTGCGGCATAATGATGGAGAGATGGGGCCAAGCTGAGCGGAATTGTGCGCTCCTGTACAGTGGGTCCCCATGAGTCACCTAACAACAGGCAGCATGTTTAGGGTAATGAGTTGTAGGTGTTCTCTGAAGAGGGGAATTTAGGCAAGGTGATGTGAATGCTCGGAGCCCAGATTCCTTTGCCTTCTGAACTATAGGCTTTCTTCCGGCTTTGCTGGATTCTGCATGAGAGGTTTCCGTACCTTCCCTAGGGTGAACTCGTATTCCTAGACTCAGTGATGCCAAGCTCTGGGTGGAGTGTTAGACCCCGCGTGAGAAGCATTCCCTGGAGAGCCTGTCTTTCAATCAGGCCAGCCCAGTAACGCACTAACCCTGGCGTGTCTCCCCAATGACAGCAGCAACACTAAGCAGTGGCTGTGGCTTCTAGACACGTTAATCCCCACAAGCATTCAGCCAGGCAGGTAATATTGCCAGCACCATTTTACAGGTGAGAAGACAAGCTAATTTGCCCAAGGTTACATAGTGACTGTAACCCTGAGCTCAAACATAGCAACGATTATGAGGTGGGTGCAGGACCAGGCAGGGCTTTCTGCTGTCGTCCAGCGGGTCACTGGGAGTCGGAACTGTTGTGACAGCACGGCTGGTGGAAAGAGGGCTAAAGGGCCCCAGCATCCTGAGAGGCTTGCCCGAGAGGCTCTCTCCCCCGGCCCTGCACTGCCTTACCTGGGGGACTGTATCAGCGTCTGGGTTGGTGAGGGTTGATAGATTGGGTCTGTGTGGGAGGGGGTTGGAAAAAACACAACAACCCCAGTATGTCCACGGATCGTATCAAGTAAATGTCAGGAAGGAGCGGGCCGATGGGGCCTCATGCCATGAGAAAGCCTGGGGCAGAGGGGAACCACAAGACTGTCTCTTCCAGCAGGTAGAGCTGGTGTGGCTGCCAGCAGGCGCCACTGCGAGAGATGCCTGCGCACAGAGGCCTATAAAACACGAGACTCGGGACACTCGTCCTTTGTCACATTTCTTCTCGATGTTTTCATTATCTCACACAACTAATTGGTCTCCTGGAGGCCATCCCGGGTCCCACAAGGCCAGTGTCGATGCTGCATCTCCCCCCACCATGCAGCCTCTGGTTAAGCATTCAGCCGCGGGGCCAGGAGGGAGAGCTGCCCATTGCATTCTGGCCCACATTTCCAGCAATCGGGCGAGCAATCAGAACTGCCTCTGCCTCCCGCTTCCATCAACCTCAAAGGCCTCATAAATCACGTCCCCGTTGGGCCCTGTCAGCTCATTCCTTTGTCAGAAGAGGGCACCGTGGCACAGAGCTACTAAGCGATTTCAACGAGGTCGTCCTGAGCAACCAAACCGGCCAGGCTCCGTTTTTTATTTTCCTGGTTCCAGTCAAACAGCCGTCTCTGGATACCCTTGGGCCTGACTCCCATCCAGAATATAACGAAAGTGAAATTGTCACAAACAAGTCATCTGGAGAAATAATGGAAAAGCCGGGAACCGTTTCCCAACTGTCCCAGGGGGAGGCTGGGCGCACACGGCACCACAGAGACCTCTGCCGGAGCCAAGCGTCATTGCCTGCGCGAGTAGCTCCGTACCCCCAGCGCTCCTTTCTTGTCAACAGCAGGTCGCTTACTGTCTCCCAGGTCGCTCACTACCCGTCAGGGATGAGGCCCCTGTAGCTGCGCCGTCTCAAACACACCTCCAAGTGGGTCAGAGTGGAAAGCCCATGCCCCTCCCTGAAGTCCTACCAGAGGGCCCACCAACCAGTGTCTGCTTTAAGAAGCTCTGGTCTCTGCTTCCCAAATGTTTTCTCTCCCAGGCCTGCGACTCCTTGTGGGAGAGGGGCAGTTGTGGTTCAGTAGTAGAACTCTGATCTCCCCTGGAAGAAATCCCGATTCCGCTCCTCGCCAACGTCCCTCAGGCGCAGTGACCACCCATCTGTGCTTATAGCTGTAGTGCTGAATGGGCGTCAGGGGAGCTTCCGATGAAGAGTCTAGAAAAAAGAGGCCTGGTGAGCTACTTCTGAAAACCAGCCAGAATGGATCAATTCTGTTGTGTGTGATAGCAACAGACGGATAACAACTTGTGGGAGAATTTTCTAGAGTCTGACCTGGCACATGGAAAGCCTTTGCCCCCAGCTATGGCATGGTCCTGTGTATGCTGCCAGACTGGTTCTCCTACCAACTGTTAGCATTGCGTTAAAACTTCAGAAGTCATTCCTGAAACTGTCTGTTGGCCAAATGTTTCCAAAAGGGATCAATTACAATGTTTTTGTTTTTTAATATAGATATATATTTTTTAAAAAACAGCAACACCTCTGTTTCTCTAGGGCGTTTTTCCGCCTCTAAATTGGAATCAAAAACTCGAAATGGAAAACAAAGTCATCTTTCGTGCATTATGGGTAATGGCCAGCCCTCTCCAGTACAGAAAGTGGGGCCAGGAGGGGAGCCAGCTGGGTGCTTGATGTGTCATGTCATTCCATTCCCACAGCAATCCAGCAGAGGAGGCGCTACCATGACCCCATTGTACAGTTAAGGAAATGGGGACTTGAAAGAGGTTAAGCAAGTATTCCAAGTCGTGGAGATACGTGATACATGACAGAACCAGGCCTCAACCAGCCAAAGGTCTCCATTCTAGACTTCTTAGACACAGCTAAATAGCCCGTGGGGTGAAAGGCCATACCTTTGGGGATGGCTGCCTCAGTTGGTGCAACACCGTTCATGAGCCCACTGTCCCGCATCCTGCTTTGGAGAGCAGCAGCTTGTGAGTGGCACAGCTGTGGGTCCCTTCCCATCTGGAGCAAAGAAGAACGGGGAAAACCAAAGACTCGGGGGAGCAACTAGTCCCCACGGACCCCAGCCGACATTGCCCTGAGCCAGGAAGGCGGGTTGGTGCCCACTACTGATGATTCCACCCTGGCTGGAATCAAAGCAGGCGTCCTGGAGAGATGCGGGAGGGACAGAACACAAAAGCGCTAGTTCACAAAGAGGAGATAGACTGGGTGAAGGAGCCTCCTGGCCCCAAGACAGCCCTCTCCAACTGGAACTGAAACACCCCCCCACAAAGCCACCATTCACCCCCAAAAATGAGACAACATAAGCAGCCCCTGAGAGAAAGGTGTTTCTTAGAGCAATCCATTAAAGGAGATCAAGAGGACAGCATTGGCCTGAAAACAGCACGGGAAGATGGGAAGGGAACAGTGCGAGAGCGACGCACTGGGGACACGCGATGGCCTCACCAAGTGGGAAACAGGCTTGCTTGGTAACCTTTCACCCAACGCACAATTTAAAAAAAATTTTTTTAATTAAAAAAACAGTCTCCCTGATCTCAGATTTGTCTAGCTAAAGGCCTCTCTCTCTCTCTGGCCACCTCTCGGCATCTTGCCGGCTGCGTGCATCCCCAGGAACTTTCTTGACTGGGGCCCCATCATTCCGTGGAAATCACACACCCATCTATCTCTAAGAAAGTGAAGCAGAGACAGATGCTGACTTTTGTCCCTCTCATTCATCCGTCAGATTGTTAATCTGAGAGGTTCCCTCTGTACTCCAGAAAGGCGGAAATCTTTCATTCATAAAAATGAAACACAACCGTCAGGCGGTCCAGCATAGAGACCCCGTCTTCTGACTTACTCTCCCCGTGGAGTCCGTGTTCACAGCCACCGGTGAAGGCTGGTGTGCGTGAGCGCTGGCGCAGGAGTCCCGGGTCTTTCAAGATGGCCCAGGGACGCTAGCCCTCCTGAGTCCCCACCACTGCTAAGCCACTCTCCACAAGGCACAGCTTTGCCAGGGCTTTTTTTTTTTTGGTGGGGTGGGGGGGTCCAAGGGTAGTGGGTGGAGAGCTTGTTTATCTGTTGTCCATTTAAAAGCTTCAGGTGGAAGGCAGAGGGTGTGCGTTGTACAGGAAGTGCAAACATGACAAATAAGGCTTCGTGGACCAAGTCATGGGAAGGGGTGTGTGGTCAAGCCTCCGCGTGAGTGACGTTCTTGCTTCATGAACTGGTGTTTTCTTTTTATATGCTTCGTGTAGATGAATGGACAGAGGTGGACAGAAAACGAGGTACGCTCTTTCTTAGCTGCATGTATTCAGTCTGCACCCACAGGCTCACTGATGTGGTCCTTTGTCGCCAGATAGCGCAAGCCAAGGACATAGGCACGGACTTGTCTCCCACGGACACCCAAGGGGGCTTCAAAAAGCTCATGGCAAAAGAAAAAAAAAGGAATTAAAAGAGACTGGGATTTTTCCATGAACTTCCTGAAGCCCCCTCGGTCAATGGAACCTGCTACCGGAAAGAAAGACATTCTGCCTCTGGAGAAAACCCCCAGCAAGCTTTGGCAAACGGC